CTCTTCCTCTGAGATTAATGTCAGTCTACCGGAATTTAATAGCAGCTATCTTCGACCTCTGTATTGGTTATCAATGACCGAGGAAGGTGGGGGAGCAATGAGTAAACCTTCATGTCTCCCTCTCTCAGTGCTAATCCTCAATCCTTCGAAATTTTGGATTCGGTTAAAAGTGTTCGCATCTCGTGCGTAAAGTACATGAACAGCACACCAAAATCCGTTATGAGTACAAATGTCCTGAAGTCTGGTCTTTGTCATCAGTTCCCTGGAAATCAGCACTCAGCTCCCTCTACGGCATAATGGACCAACGCTTGCTTATGAGCATCCAAACCACTCGATCCGAAGATGATATTGATTTAGCGTCCTTGTCAATGCAGAACCACCGCATAAATTTTAATAAAAATTGACGGTATTCTAGGGGAGTCCTACGACCGTTGGAATTTGGGGCACTTGCTGCCATTTTGACTTATTTACTTTAAAGGATCGACCACTCCCGAATTCCAGATCCAGTACCGCGAAAGTATAACTAATAACATTGTTGAAAACGTCTGTTTACTAAATGATTCGAAGTTCTCCTGCCTGGTACCGCATCCCGCTTCGATTAACGTACCCTTGTGGTGACATCCTTTCGTCGGAAATGTGGTAATTTAACATTCGTTTTGTTGTTAAGCGCCGAAAAATGACCAATAGAAATTTAAAGTCAAGGGCATTTTGTATTCATATCTCTGACAAGCACAGCGGCTGTCATCGTGTTCAACAAAACAAAGTCTGACAATGACGGGGTTTTCTGAAAGAAAAAAGTGTTTGCAGTGATAAGAAGGTCGGGTTAGAACCGTATTTTCAGGCTGACGACAAAGGAGTGGGACCAAGACTGGTGAAGTTAATTTTTTACATAAGTGGGACGGAGGCAGATTGGTAAGGGAACAGGGTTAGGCATTCCAAATCTTCTTGCTTATCCATCCGGGCGACGTGTAGATGATGAGGAAGATAATGAGGATGAAAAGGAAGGCTATGAGAAGTTTGATCAGTATCCACTTGAGCTTATATTTGATGAGGTACATAAGTGTATTCAAGGGGCCCAGGAACGATATGAAGGAGCTGTCTGGTCGGCTGAAAATGCAAAAAACAAAAACGTTTTTTTATTACCAGTCCAGAAGAATGACCAGCTTTAAATAGGCCTTATGAGCTTGAGCCACACAAAATTTTACAAAGGCATTGAATAATTCTAACTCAGAAATCCATCTGCAAAACTATTTTTATATGAACAATTAAATACTTTTTGAGCCGATTAAAATGCTGCCAAACGCATTTCTTCCTAAATCGTAATTAGACCTTGATTAATCACCATTGGTGCCAATTTAAAAATAACTTTTCCAGTCTCTTCCTTATAGAAGGAAGGTGGCTTTTTTGCGAAGAACGTCAATGCACTGAACGTAAAATGTCTTTCAGCATTGCTGGGCCGACACTCACTTATGAGCATCCTAAGCACTCGGCCCGAAGACGTATTGATTTAGTGCCTGTGTCGGTACAGAAGCACCACATAAATTTCAATAAACTTGAAGACAGTCTAGGGGAACCCTACAACTGCTGAAATTTTGGGCGCTTCCTGTCATCATGATTTATTTCCTCTAGTTTAGGGATCCAAAACTCCCACATTCAGGACCTAGAGTGGCTAAAGTATAACTACTGATATCGCATGTTGCATCGGTTAACGTACCATTGTGGTGACATATCCTCGCCAGAAATAGGGCCAATTAGGCACCCGCGCACTGATAACCGACCAGTAACAGTTTAGATGCAAAGGTTGTTTGTCCTCGTAGCCTTGACAAGCACAGCAACTGTAATTTGTTTATCAAAAATGCTCTGAAAATAACCGGGGTTTTGGTAAAGCGAAAAGTGTCTGCAGGGCGAGATGAGCATACTGTAAGCTGGGTTAGATGCATAATTTCAGAGTGAGGATAGACGGATGGGGCTAATTTTGGTGAAGTCAATTTTTTTACACAAGCGAGTGGAAGTCAGGTGGTAGGTTAACAGGTTTAGGCATTCCAAATCTTCTTGGTAATCCATCCGGGCGAGGTGTAGATGAGGAGGAAGACAATGAGGATGAGAAGGAATGCTATGAGAAGTTTGATCAGCAACCACTTGAGCTTATATTTGATGAGATATTTAATTGTATTCAAGGGACCCAGGAACGTCATGAAGGAGCTGTCTGGTCGGCTGAAAAAGCAAAAAAAAACAACGAACATTGTTAGCAGCCCGGCAGAAATACCGGCCGCAAAAGCCCCTGTAAGCTCGAGCCACACCCTTTTTGACCTAAGTTTACCAAGAAATTTTGCAATTTTATCTCGGAAATCCACCTGCAAAACTCTTTTTCTTACCGAAGATTGAACATTTTTGAGCGGAGTAAAATGTTTATAAAATTGCGAATACAGATGTTAATCTCAAAGAAACTTTTTTAGTCTCCTTCTTAGAGAAAGAAGCTGGTTTTGCTGCGAAGAACGTCAATATTCCATAAAGAAATTACCTTTCAGCATTACAATATATTGAATGCATGAAGTTCGTATCTGTCAGAGTCCATGACATCAAGAACAAACTACTACTTGATTAATTCTCGGACCTAAAATTAATTCATTTTTACACTTGTCGCTCTTCGGTGTATATGACAGTTGTTTTGTGGCCAGAGAGGTAGAGACGAGGGAACGTCAAATTTTGCCCGGGCGGCGTCAACCCCTGGTAGTTCAGGTGGTGGAACTCTAGACCGGAATTCGAGGGGTCCCCGATTCGAAGGCTTATCAGAACAATGGTTTTCACTTTTTGAGTAGTTTTTGTTATTCAGAAGTACTCTCTGCTTTCCTCCTAAACGTGGGAAAAGCTACACTGCAAAATTGTCCCCAGAATGTTTTGATGCGCATCGAATATTCTTTGCAGCATATTTGCAAAATCGAGGCAAGAGCGTGTTCCTGCGGATAAGGCTGACTTTCCTGAACCAGACCTTTCTGCAAATTTGATTTACTTTCATCACAGGCAATTGGGCATCCGCGCTGCTCTCAGCCAGCATGCTATCCCCATGCGCAAATGCAGAACGCGGTTTTGTGAACATAGGCGACAAATAAATTGTTATCAGATCTCCGCCTGTATATCACAAGTTCGCATCTGCTCGGAAAGTGAATC